TACTAATTTCATCAACATATAATAGAAATTTGAAAGATTTATACTTTATAATACCAAAAAAAAAAGAATTCAAGTCGAAAGGTAATATTTGAATATCTATTTAATTATATGGGCTAACATAGTTAAAATCTATTTTGTTTTTTAATTACAGTGTTTGGTGCTAGGTTAGATATATCTAATATATTATTATCAATTGTGACATTAATTCTTGCATTTATTGTTCTTTCTACTTGAATAGCTTGTCTAAGTGTTAATTGCAAGCTTCAGATTTCTTGATTTCCCTTATCTTTCCATTCTGCGGCGATTGATGCAAGCTCCTCTTGTAATTTAGTAAATTCAAAATTTTCATCACCTAGAGGGCCAATAGAGTTGGAAGAATTAAGAGATTCTTCAATGCTAGGATTCATGAATTGTTGCGTAAGATAATCGTTATCATAGCTACTTTCTTCAGCATTATCGGCATTAATACGAAGTCGGTTAAGTATGACAAAAATATGCTTATATGGTAACTGTCGTACTTTAAAATCATGACAATTACAAATATATGAGGTTGTATCTAAATTATTATTATTATTATTATTTACAGAATCTTTTTTTTGTACAGAATACTCTATATCATCATTCGTCATAGAGTGTATAACCCAAACATCAGATCCAACACTATAAATGTTGTTTTGGTTAATGCTTGTTGTTCCTGTAATTTCACGAATTCGCTGCTAATGCCTCAGTGGATTCATTCTTCCAATCTTTAATTCATCTAAAAAAACTGAAAATTCTAGGTCCCAAAGTACAACTTTTACAAGAAGATATACTTCACTATCAAGCCGTCTCTCTGGGCGTCCTCTCATATAAAAATATTTTAGCTTTCGATGAAATGCTTCGATTAAGTTATTTGTATCGATCATATCTCTGGAAATTCCTCTTAAGCATATCATCCACTTATCATATTTCAGTTTCCACTAACGCTCGAAGTAATCAGCAAAGGTGTTTATACTTTCAATGCCGAATTTTTGCCACCTATTAATTGCATTGGTAACTTGTTTTTTTGCTTCTGCATCATCCCATCCCTTAGTTTTCATTAATTGCCAGAGGTCATTCCAAATAGTTGCCTATTTATCAACATTACTTGAATAATAATTTAATTTTCTACGCCAGGACCTTAATACGTAAAAATAGCATAGTAGTACTGTACTGTCGGGAAAGCATTCTTCAACTGCTTTTATTTCTTCTCCAGTATCATCAACTATGAAAATATTAGGACTCCATTCTTTATGTTCAAGCTTTAAGAACTCAAACCATTTTTTAAAGTTATTGTTTTTTTAAATTTACTAATCAGAAATGCGATAGGATAGCCACCTCTGGCCGTTGAATGTCATATGATAAATATAAAAAGATAATAGCCATATTTATTCATTCTATGTGTGCCGTCTAAGCATACTACTCTGGTATGATGCATTAATTATTTTTGCTTTTTTGTTTGGAAAGTAAATAGGAATCCGGTATCAGTTACCGAAGTTTGCTCCTGATTACCAGGCTCAAATAAACAATACCCACCCATGCTAATTATTTTAACCCTCCATTTATCTAAGAACTTTATTTCGTCCTTATTAAAATAAGTACATATTTTCATTATATCATACACGATTGAGTAAATATCTTTTTTGGTTACTAACCCATCTTTTAATTGTTGAATATTTTGTAAAGAACCACTGCCTCACTTTTGCTCTAGCGACTGAATTTGATCCTTAAGTTCAACTGCCCGGGAACGCAGAAGCTGTTGAATGCTAAAAGCATCAAGCCCCTCAAGAGCACATTGCCGAATGAATTGCTGGATATTTTCTGAGAGAGAGGGAGAGTGTATAAATCTGACAATTGACCAGGATAGTGATTTATATGTTTATAATAGTGACAAAGAGTCACCATCGTTGAACCAACAGGAAGTTTAACATGAATATAACTTTTACATCCACATTTTTTGCACCAATCATGGCTTCTTTGTAGTATCCTTCCTGGCAGTGCTTTCGTAAGTTCTATACCGATGACAATACCACCTTTCTGACCATTGATTTTTTTTTCTTGAGCCACCATCAGGCACTTGATGATCGTGTTTATAATAACTAAACCCACTTTTTCAAGATTTTTAATCCATTCTACATATTCTTCAACTGGTAGATAATATATTTTAGATTTTTTCTCTAATGAATTTTCTTGTGTTGTATTATCATCCTCCGTTGTCTCCCACGTCTGACCAGTACTATCCGTTGCGTCAAGAATGTGATCAAGCACATTATCAAGCTCATTATCACTACTATCACTAATGATCATATCTTCTTCCTCAATATCAAAAATTGTATTGATATCTAAGGGCAAAGTCATCTTAACTTTTAAATATTCAAGTTAATTTTGTGGAATAGAATGGAAATAGAGGTTTAGAAAAGTTATCAATGAGTAAATGAGATTATAGATACAACGTTTAACTATAAACCAAGCAGATGATCATGATCCTGATTAGGAATGAAAAACTTATAAAGATATTATAAATAAAGAGAAGTAGCGTTTTTATTTCTTTATTATGATTACTTGTTTAAAGAAGATTTTAACAATTTTATTATTAAATAGTAATAAAAAATCTAGATCATTTATTTTACCAACTTGGGTAAAAACCCTTCCTTAAATATATTATTTCACTGTGATCTATTCTACTCTATTATTTAAATAAAGCCATTATGGTCTATTTTGTATATAGATGAGATAGCGCTCATTAGTCTCTTTTTTCTACTATGTCAACTATACCTTTCCCACTATATTCTTACTATTTGCATAATCTGCCAAATCTGCAAGATTTGCGCATTTCGCTAAGTCACGGGATTTAATCTAAAAATGCATACAAGCGCATATAAGAATTAATAGAACTGCTTCCAAACCAAGTTAGCGATAATTTTATATGCATTTGCTGAGTGATTGAATATATAATATAGAAAACAATTTTTGGGTCATTTCACTTATTCATAGTATAATTTAGTTGTACAATAACTCAAATATTGATTTTTTTATTTTTAATACAGATTTTATAAGCACTATGTAAATTTCATAAATACATAAAGTAAATTCAGTATAATTCTAAAGATAATTAGTATCTTGTTTTGATTCTTTGTATACTTTCTGATAAAGTCGCGAAAATAATTAGCTAATCTATTTAAAAAAAAGCAGAATATATAAATTTTAGTGCAATCACGTGTTAAGGAAAAAATAAAACTTTAAAACAAAATATGTTGGCAACCACCTAACCAAATTCGACTAAATTTTTTTTATTTGAATTCTATGGATTCATAGAATTCAAATAAAAAAAATTTTACCGAGTTTGATCAGGAGGTTGTGAAGATATCTTCTTTCAAAGTTAAAGAAAAATCAAACCGTCTATTAAAATCGAAGCTGTGCCAATTTTTTCTAAAGTTTGAGCGAAATTATCTTCACAACCACTAACCAAATTCAACGAAAATTTTTTTTATTTAGGTTCTATGAATTCGTAAAATTCAAAAAAAAAAAAAAATTGAACTTAGTCATGTAGTTAGGGAGATATAAATGGCTGAAAATTTTTATTTTTCTCTTATGCGATTATGTCACATTATTATAGATCGTCGATTTCGGCCAATCGGAAATTTGGATTATCTGCACCCAATAGAAACTTGGGGGGAAATTAGTAAACGCGTTTTGATGATGATCATCTGATATAACAGCCAATAGATTTTTTTTTTTGCTGATATCATGACCAAACTACACGAAACCATAAAAGAAATTTGCAAAGTTTACCACGAACAAACATTAAAAGGCTACAGTTTTCCTCAAACAATTTATGAAAATTTAAATCAAATACTTATTGATAAGAATGAAACTTCAGAAAAAATAGTTAAACATTGTATAAACAATCAAGAAGATCCATTATATTTGAACCTTATCGGAAATTGTTACCTTCACGGTAAATGGATTGATCAAGATAAAAAACAAGCTTTCGAATATTTTAAAAAATCCGCAATGATGAATGATGTAATAGGATTATGGCATACTGGATTTTGCTATGAAGAAGGCCATGGAGTCGAACATGATTATACCAAAGCTTTTGAATTTTATCAAAGATGTGCTGATTTGGGATACCCTATAGGAATGTATTCTGTTGGTTATTGTTATCATATTGGTCTTGGAGTATATGAAGATCATGAGAAATCATTTGAATATTATTTAAAATCTGCAAAAGCAAATTTTCCATTTGGGTTTAGTTCAATTGCTTATCATTACGAATATGGAATTGGCGTTAAAAAGGATGAGGAAAAAGCTTATGAATATTATGATAAATGTTTAAAAATAATAAATTGTGATCCCGAACCTTACGGAGAATGATGATATTGTAAGCAATTATTTCATATTTATTTTAAGTAAACTAACGATCTTTATGTATAAAAGCATATGTAAACGAATAAATCTTTACAATTTATAAATTTAATGATATGGAACTTTCTCAACTTATACATGAGGTTTTAAATAAACATGTTTATAGTTCATGGTCAATAATAAGACAAAATCCAGGAAATTTTAAACTATACTTAGAAAGAGGAAAGTTTCTTGAGCTATTTACTCGCTACTTCATCTTAACAAACGGAATTCCATGCTTAATAAGAGATCCGATAAGATCGGATAAACCAAAAATTTGTTTACCAGACGAAATGGAAGCCGATGGAGGATTCAACCTTCAAGTAGGGACCGCATAAAAAATTTTTCATAATGCCGGGACGAATTATGTAAATCATGGGTCAGGGCAATTTTAATGTCAGCTGGATTAAGCGGTTAATACGGTTAAACGGGTAAGAAAATTTTAGGCCTACCTTCAAGGAGCATATGCGACCAAACTTCAAATTAAATCGCAATGTCTTAACAAAAAGATGATTGAGAAATTTAAGAAAAATCTAAGACGAGTAACCGTGGAATAATACATCGCGTTTATTGTTTATTATATCGTATTCTGACTATACCGATAACGTAAAAATAATTGGCAACGAAATTTATGAAGAGGTGATTCGAATAATCAAATCCAATTCTATTGATTCGACAGGTTTCGACTACTTAAACGAACGTTTAGAAATACCACCTAGTAATATGAATTAACGAACGCAATTTTCAACTCAAATGAAAATTCACATCAAGGATTTATTTGCCCATTTGACAAACGTTTCAAAATTAAGCTATTGAAATTGGAAATCGTCAAAAATCAATGTGAATTTTATTTCGGCATCGAATGTACAAAGGTGTTGATTTTTGATCTGTGATTGTATCAATTACCTCGTTAAAAACGTCGACAATTAATTAATCGAGTGTCGGAAAAAATTTTTCGTAGAACATATCGGCGCATTTTTGAAGAACCCCATAATTAAAGGGTATTAACTGATTGGTCGGAGTAGTTTAAAAAAATTTAGCTACCTAATAATTTAATGAACGATATATCTCTATTTAAAAAAAAAGTAATCAGTTGAACGTTAATTTTTCAATGAGATTCTTAATTTTGGTTTTATGCAAAGCGCATAAAACATAAACTTATAATATAGTCAATATAAAACCGGACCAGTGAATCAAAAGTTATTTATGGTTAAAGATTCTGAAAATTTAGGGGACTTCATGGGGCGGATTAATCAGTTGACTATCTTATTTAAGGGATCTTTACTGCTGAGTTGATGATTTTTTATTAGATCTGGAGACTAGTAATTTGCAAAATCCGCCGATATGATCATACATAGTGCTCCGAATCGGGTCGGGTTCGGTTTGAACGTTAACCAAAATTATCCAAATTAGAGATGCTCAAAAATAAGAATTTTATGTATTTTGTTTTCTAATAGAAAGTATATACATATGTATTTTTAAATAATATTTTAAGTGAGTCCATTAAAGACAGGTAAATACGCACCAATCAGATTTCTTCAAATAATCGACATCAGTAAGATCGTTAGGGATCTTTGCTAACAAAATGAGGTTCCGAGGCTATGTTGATTTTGTGAATAAAAATTAAATTTGCCAGCCATCTAGCAATCCAATTTGAATGAATTTTTTTTTATTTTGTAAATCTCAATAGAATCTACAAATTAAAAAAAATTCATTCAAATTGAATAACTAGATAGCTGGCAAATTTAATTTTTATTCACAAAATCAACATAGCCTCGGAACCTCATTTTGTTAGCAAAGATCCCGTTAGATCATGTGAAACGTGAAATCACATTTTTAAAGAAATTTTTACTATGAAACCACATTCTGCGCTCTAATAAAAAAACTTGGTGCAAAAACGTTCTAATCTCTAACCTAACTTTAACGTAAGATTTTACTACTATACTTTAAAAATATTACGCATCAAAATTGAGTTGATCCCTCGAGGAATTTGATTGGTGCATATCTATCGATATCTCAAGCCAATGAAATTAGCGATCCCTAGTAACAATATTATATACTTTTTCGAACTTTGAGCGAAATAACTTAGTAATTACCTATCTGATCCATAGAATAAAAAATAAAAAAAATTACTTTAATTTTAGGTGGGCAGTTATTGAGATATTATCGATCAAAGTTGGAATAGCTAACTGCGGTCTTTGTTTTAATAATCGCCTAATTTCTTATTGAACTTTGAACGATAATATCTCGATAATTACCAACCTAAAATCGATAAATATTTTTTTATATTAATTCTATGAATCCATAGGATAAAAATAAAAACAAATTTCGTCGATTCTAAATATGCAGTGCTGTGGTAGTCAGCTGAGCTTATATGCATATCGCGCTTCGATTTGATTAGCCAATTTCGACGATTATCGTTGCATGGATTTTTAAACGTCAAGAGCAAAAAGGGCGATTGAATTCATTTTTTAAAAAAATTTAATATATAAGCCCTACAATTTCGTGTCGGGTCGGGTTGAAGCTCCAACCCGAAGTTTGTCAAACCCGACCCAACAAATTTTTATCACGTTGTAAGTTATTGATTTCGGCATGATCGATATATAATACAGTCACATCTCCCTAAGTGCATGCTCTGGGGACCAGGCATAAATTTGCATTTAGAGAGGGTATGCATTTATAGAAAACTTCTCTAAATACATATATTAGAAATTTAGATATAGGTTTGTATTTAGAGAATATAAATGTACATATTCCATAATCTTTAGGAGTGAATAACTTTTGATCTACTGGTCCATTTTGAATAAAAACACCCACCAAAATGTTTGCCTTGATGAGACGATTTCAACAAGCTCAAATTCGCTAAAATCCAATTACAGGATTCCAAGATTGTTAAGGTTTTGTGTTACTTCGTATGTATTTAGAATTAAATAACAGATAAATCAATTTTAAAATATATACAAAGTAATACAAAACCTTAATTATCTCGGGGGTCCTGTAATTGGATTTTAGCGATTTTGAGCTCGTTGGAATCGTCTCACCAAGACGAACATTTTGGTAGGTGTCTCATCCAAAACGGACCAGTGGATCAAAAGTTATTCACTGTCAAAGTTATATATATGCATTTATAGATATATATATATATACTTTGGACCCTAAAATTTTATGCACATGCAGAATATAGAAAATTCTTAAGTCCCAAGCTTGGGACCAGGCCATAATATGCATTTAGAGAAGGTTTGCACTTAGGGGGTGTGCACTTAGGGGGGTGTAACTGTATATTAAAAGTAGCCAATAGCAGAATATATGGCAATTTTTAGCATTAATATATAAGAAGTTTAATTTATATTTGCAAGTGACGGTTTGACCCACAGATTTAACCCGCGGGTTAACTACAGGTTTAACCCGGGTTGATCCGTGGGTTTAACCTGCAGATTGACCTTTCACCTTTACCTGGGTTGATCCACGGGTTAAATCCGCAGGTTGACCCGTCACCCTTTACCCGGGTTGACAAAATTGTAACCCGATGCCCGACCCACCCGCGGGTAACCCGGGTGATGCATACCCGGGTCCAACCACTAGTGGTGAAATTGGTGTTGAATTGGTGAAATTAATTTCACCAGCATCTCTAGAATCAAGTATCTATAAGATGTTTGGGCCGCGGAAGCAGCCCCAAATATCTTACGGATATTTGATTTATTCACTATTATTATCGTCCGTTATTCATTACGGGTCTGTATTATTTCACCGATAATCACTTCATAGACAACTTAGTACGCGACAATTAATTTACAACAAGCTTTATTTTACCGATGATTAATTCACAGACAAATTCATTTCAATTTCATGGACAGTATATTTTACCAACAGCTCATTTCACAGACAAATGAATTTCTGGCCATTATCGTTGGAATAAACGGCATAATCCGTTAAGGTTATTGTAATTTATTAAAAAAAAACTCGTGAAACGTGCTGTTAGTGAATTATAAACTTACTGTCTATGAAATGAACTTGTCTGTGAATTAATCATTTGTAAAATAAACCTTATCTGTGAATTAATTGTCGGTAACTATAATGATTGTCAGTGAATTGATCGATCTTTGCTAGGAAAATCATCCTTCGGGGTTTTCCGATCGGGCTAATTCGGAAAAGCTTAGACCAGAATGCCGCTTCTTATTCACATGTAAATCACCTTTTGCTTTATTGATTCGATAGTTTATTAAATAAACTGTCGAATCAGTAAAGTAAAAAAATGGGATGCATATGAATAAAAAGTGGATATTGGTCTAAGCTTTTCCGAATCAGCCTGATCGGAAAATCCCGAAGGGTGATTTTCCTAGCAAAGATTAAAATCTAGAGATCCATACAAAATTATAAGCCTACTTATATTAATTATTGAAGATTCTAATTCATTAAATTCGTGAATATGTATTCTTGTACAACTTCAATAACTTTGTTTTGTTTACACTAATTAAATAGATAAGGCATTTAGGTATCAAGATATTTGAATTCATTTTATTTAATGAAGTTCAATTGGTTAGAATCGTTGAGTTAATACAGTATCACCTTATGAACTAGTCATGTTTTTCACTATCGTTCTTTTGTCAAGTCTTTATATTTTCCATTTTGACGTATGAGAAATAAAAAAAATAAAAATGTTAATGCATCATATGCAAGAGAATAATTCCACAACATGATGATCATTGATAATTTTAGGGATCGTCTAAAGCGGAGCATAATCACGTGATATACGACCAATCAAATTATAGAATTTTGATGATCGCCGACGAAGCAAAACAAGAAAAAAAAGCGAAAAACTTGACCCCACCTTGGGTAAGCTAAGTAAAAATGTCAGGAAGGCAATTTTGCTTATATTTAATAATCTAAAGTCTGCTCTAACCGTAATCCAAGTTGACCATAGCCCTAAAGTTAATTCGATAAAATATATATTATAAGAATCTACTCCGCTTTAGACGTCCCCTAATTTTAGTAATTCAATTCCACTATCGATGTGACAACAATTAGTATCCTGGATACTGAAGCTTGATTCAGTCGTGTAAAGTGAAGTTGTTTATCGTATAAGACGTATTTGACATAAAGTGATGCTAATAACAGAATCGAGGGTATATTTACAGTGTAGCATAAGGGCGAAGCTACGCGATGACAGATGAAGAAAAATATAGTAAACGTCTTCTTCTTGATAAGGATTATAAAGACTCCTCTTTCTTGAGAAGGGCATCCAATGCGGTATAGGTATCATTAATGTACTATCGTTATTAATCAATATACAGCGAGCATTTAATGTATAGATAATAATAAATGGATTTCTTTTACGTATAAGAAAATCTCGATTTGGGCCCGATGACTTTCTTATACTGTATCAAAGAGCAATTTGTAAATACTGTATAAAAGTTTATCAAAATGTTGCTAGTTAGAATAAGAGCAAACATTATAGATAAGTCTTTATAATAACATATACCTCATATTTCTTTGCGTTTTTTTTTCTTTTTTTTAACTGTTCTTATATTTATCAAAATTCATGATTT